TCTTTTCATGCCCAGTATTATGGGTCCATTATAGACAAAAGAGAAAATACAGATAAAGAAAGTAAAAATAAAAATCCCCTTGAACCTGCCATTCAGGTATCACCACCGTTAATATTTTGATATATATTCTCTAAGGGTTTCTCTTTTTTAAAGAATAATTATTTAATCTAATTTTGTTTATTATTATTGTATTTTTAATTTGGCAAGAGAGAGAGAGAGAATGAGAAGGCAGGCTACCAGGTTTGGGACTCAGACCCAGCCATGTGGGAGTCCAACACCCTAACTACCATGCCACCCACAAGCCCCCAGACTTTATTTTTTTCTATATAAAAATATACACATTTATTTAAAAATCAGATCATCATGTATGCAGTAGAATATAATGTTCAGGGGTTACATCAGCAGCTGCTACAAGTACAGCATTATTCATTCAAGGTATTAAATGAATTGTGCTTTACCAACATGCATTTAAGTTATTTCCGATTTTTTATTCGTATAAACAACAGTGCTTTATAGCTGTGTGACATTGGGAGTTGGTTAGCCTCTCTGTGCATCTGGTTTCTCATTTGGAACATGCAGGTGATAATAGTGCCTACTTCACAGAGATGTTGTGGGTATTAAATAGAATCATGTAAGTAAAACACTTAGTACAGTGCCTAGCACAGTAAATATTAGTTTTTATTATTACATATAATAATAACAGTTGTTCTTATGAAGTTGCTGTTAATAAAGTGGATTTCTACGACAATGTTTTGGTTTGTTTTTCTATGACTATGTTTTGGTATACTGAGCTCTGAAGTGAGACAGAGTTATGTGCATTTGGTCATGTCAATTCATTTTGCTGAGACTCAGTTTCCTTGTCTATAAACTGGGAATTAAAAGGAATTAGTTTGTCATTGAAAATAGTTATGGACACTGGAGACAGTATGGAAGGAGAGAAGAGTATAGGAAGGGAATTTAGGGAGAAAAGTATAGAAGCAAGACATTTGTGGGACACAGAAATGGTTAATGGTTTATTACCTGTTGCTGATAACATGTACAGCATTCTCAACTGGACTGGTCTAAGGTGTATTTCATGTTGGGTAAATTCTCTCTACAAGCTAAATGATGTATAGCAATTGAATGTATGTTAAGTAATAATAATAATAAAAATTTTAAAAAGGATTTAGCTTGCAGGATAATTGTAATGATGAAAGGAGATAATGTTTGTGAAGCCCTCAGCACTGTTGACATGTAGGAAGAGTCTATTGATATCGAGGTCAGTTATTATTATTATTACTGTAATGATCCATTTGTAATAAGAAAGTTTCCTTGCTTGATGGTGTGCGGTGGGTGGGGAGTGATAGCAGTGAGTAAAGCACTTGTTGAATTGCAAAGAGAGAAAATTATTTTGGAACCAGACCAAATGGGGCTCAGACCTGGATTTTGCTATTTACTAGCTCTATGACCTTGGTCACATAAGTTTTTCCAAACCCCTTACAGATGTTGCTGAGCCCTCAACAATGTAATGCTACTGCATGTGTAATGCTAAGCTCCCGTGTTCATTATTGTTGGTTGCTAATTAAGAGGCTTGCAATGATTTGAATGCCTGGCAAACTCTGACTTTCTCTACTTGGGCTTCTTGCACTTCACCTAAAAGCTTTGCCCTATCCTGGGCTCAGGGATCAATTCTGTCCCTCGACTAAGGATTTAAGTGGTTCCGAAAGACTGGAGGACACTGGTAAACCTTTCTACTAGTTTTACTCTGACCTTGTGCCCCAGTTCTGGAAAGCAGGCAGAAGCTTTGTTTCTATAAGCTAGCTCTCACCTGGTGTGCTCAAGACTGGCATGTTTTTCTTGCCAGCTGTCTGAAATCCATGGAGCTTTACTGTTGAATCCTAGCCCTGTGGCAGAGACACTGGTGGGCAGATGTCCTTCTGTGTCTCTGACCCTGGAGCAAATTGACTTTTTTTTTTATCAGTATAGTTACAGGGGTCTGTAAGGGTGTTTGCTCCCCAGCCCCCCGACCATCCTCTCAAACCCTGCTTTCCGCGCACCTGAACATCTTTGAACTTTTCTGATGCTGCCCCTGTCATTCTCCAGCCCCCCAGTTCCCAAACCTCTAACCCCTGCCCAAATGTCCATGACATACCAGTTACAGCACCAGGCTCCCAGGATTTCTGTGTCTGTCCAACAGCAGAGGATATATGTCTCATTTCCTGAGCCAAGACACTTTCAGTCTCATGTCTTTAATTGTGCCAGTCTCTTCTTCTCTTCAGGACAGTCAAAGGCAGGCATAGTGGGGACTAGGCTGGCGAGGGGCATCTAGGGGGTGAGGGGAGAGAGGGGAGGAGTTGCAGAGGCCAAGTGCTAAAGCGGAGCTTCTGGAGGGCTGTCAAGTGAAAGGCGGCCAGAGGCAAATGTCAGAGCCTATATAGAGGCAGGAATCTGGGACCAGAGAGAGCAAGCACTAGCAAGTCAGGAGCAGTGTGGCGGGTGGGCGGG